CTATAGCACCCTTGTGCAATATATGTCTCCCTCACCTTTAACTGGTATCATGATTTGTGCTGGAGTTCCTTACTCAAAGCAGGATGAATTCCACCTGGGAAAGTTACACACTTGGTCAATATCTTAAGCATCAGTCCTCATGCTGGAGGTGAGGTTGTAAAGGTTGAGATTGCAGCTGAGGTATGCAGCAACCTGCCTGAGGCACACGATATGGCAGGGCTTGCTAAAATTAGTAACATGATGAATGATTGTATTATTTACAGTCTCATTAACTGGGCCTGCACTTGAATCAGAAAACCAGTTAAAAAAAATTAAAGAAACAGAATATTCCACTCAAAGAGCGGAGTTAATGCAAAAGCCTACCTCAGAAGGAAACACTTGCACCTGCACTGTTCAACTCCCACATGAATGACAATTTAATGTTTCTGGCACAGAGATTTGATTTATGTACACGGATGCCCTAAATGTCACAGTTCAAACCAAGGGTCTAGCCCACACTGAAATATCATTGTTAATATCATTGCTCTTTAGTCTCTTAATTTTTTACTATATCAAGTACTAAATCAATAGTTAAAATGTAAAGAGGTTTCTTTAATTTCAGAAAGCATATTAAATACAAATAGTTCAACATCAGCACTTGAAGTGAGTGGGATTTTTCTCAATGTGGAGAAGACAAAAACATTGTGCTCATTTCTGTATGGGCAAGCAACTCAGTAAGACAGGAAAATACTGTATTTTACTTCCCTCTATTTCAAGACACACTTCCAGTATTATAAAAATCAGTATGTGAAAATACATGAGAAATGGTGTAACAGTTAAACTCCCAGCACATCACTCCATAAGCAACTTGTGCATGTTTTTGTTCATCACCAGCTCCCCAAAGCTGCCCCACTGAAGGCCTTCAGGCCAGGTGTGCCCTGGCCAGTACTGAGGTACTGGTGTGCACTTACTGTGGGGGTCAGCTCTTCTTCATTCCTCAACCTCAAACTAAAACAGCTTTTCCAACTAAAATGAACACCCTCAGTTTCAGTGACACAGATGAGAGCCACTAGCAATCCTCACTTTGTTTTGTTTCATGGGCTTATCTGAAAATTGTGCTGCTGCAGCTTAAAGCAGAATCTGCTAACTACCTAGACATCTGCTTTATAAGACCAATTAAAAAAGAAATATTTACTGTATTAATAAATAATATTTTAATGGAATCTCCCACAGTCCTTCAGCTATAAAGTCTGGCCATCTCAAAATGAACTGGTTAATGAGCTGACATTTTAATTTGTGCTCTCAATAGTGTCCTGTTGCGTTTTATAATGTGTAAAGAACATAGTGTTTGCAATTAAGACACAGGACCAAAACAGATGATGCACACTGGTGTTTAGTGACCTACTATTGCTAAAATAATGAAAAATGTGTTTTCACCTGTACTTGCAGATTTCCTGCTTTTCACAGTGTACCCAGACCTGAGAGACTTTTATGCGTCCCACCCTTGGGACCCTCTGCTAACTGAGAGTCTCTTTGTTGAGCAATGGAAAAATGGGATACCCAAAAGTCATAAAAAATAAACTAATGGCAGAAAACCCAGCAACTTTATTGCTCTCTGAAAGCCAACAATGGGAAAATACAGTAGACTGGAGACAGTCTACTAAATAATTTATGACATATAGCCCATTTCAGCACGATTTTTTTTTCCCTATTAGGTGTGCATTAACACATAAAAGCCAAACACATGGAAAATCTTATCTGGTCTCAGAGAAAAATAGTCCCCCACCCTTCCACTTCCTCAAGCTCAACACTACTCTGAGCTGCTACTATCTCCTAAAGAGATTGTGTTATTATGTGCTCTAATTCTGCTGAACCCCAAATTGGGTTTTAAGTACACTTTTGAAACAATCATTATACCAACACAGGCTTTATCTACCACTTTCATTGCTTGCATCTCAGCAGATAATTCCTCAAAAATCTGCATTTGTTAAAGACAGCATTATATAATGTTACTTTATTCCTAGTCACAAAACTTTCAAAAAAAGGGAAAAATCCTCATCTAAGACTGCTTGCTACATTAAAGTACCATATTTTATTTTTATACAAGGATTACTTGTTCCCCCAGATTTCAATTCATTACTATGGACCATGCAAAATGTCACAGACCACAGAAGCTACATTTTCAAATGGAAGTTTTTATTGATTAATCAGGCATTGAATCAAGTATTGTAAAATAAAAAGATTTTGTTTGCTAAAAAATGTCCAGAAGAATACTATTCATAGCAAACTTGTTTCCTCATTGTCATACAGAATACGAAATTTTCCAAGAAACAAACAAAAAAGGAACACCTGACTAATTGCTGCCATTTTGCCTGTGTATATACATATGTGTGTGTATACACAAATTACACACTATATTTGTGCATATGCTGGTGTGTGTATACCCATACATATGTGTACATATATACACAAACATATGTGCACAAAGAGCACTGACTGAGTTAATAGGACATTGGAGAAATGTGGCTTAGCTCCAAATGAAGTATTCTGTGTTAAAATAAAGATGATACAACAAGGTCTGTAGATGAAAGACCATCCTTTTTCCTGTGGCCAAAACCACAATCTCTCTTTAGACTCATGCTCTATCTTTACAATGAAAATATGTGAAATCACTTGGGACCTCTCCAAATTCAATGGTTGTATTTCCATCCAGCTCAATCCCTGCCAACATTGTATAAGCAAACACTGAGCAGTGTTTTCAGTTTATCCACAACTGAAATCAGCTTCTAGATCTAATATTTCTTGCAAAAGAGAAGACACACAGCCTTGCTACATGTACTTTGGTAATTCACTCTTTCCTTTTAGGCAGAAACTTAGCAATAACCCTAGAATAAAAGTCCTTTCTTCATGCATCCTTTTATCACTGCTTTGCATCAGACATCTTCTGTCAACTAATTTTCGAAATTTTCATACCATCTCAGCTAGCTCCCAACATCCCAGGGCAGGTCATCTGGGCGTTGGGTTATCAGATTGTACCAGTAGCATTTTACTCAGATGCTTGGGGACTGATTTACTTTTTCATTTTTGAGGGTATACGTTTCTTGATTATTAATGACACTATGATAAACAGTGAGGTTCACTATATGTACACACTTTGTCTTTTTATGTCTACTTGGGAAAGATCAGTGGCTCCTACCTGTGAACTATGGGATGTTGCCCAGCTGAAAGCCATGGTAGCAGCAATGTACTGCCAGATTTTTCTCCATTTAATTCAGCAGTTAGCAGGACATGTAAAGGGAAATCAAAGAAACGTGGAAAGGCATTTATTTTCTATTAAAAAAAAACCCAAACAAACAGGCATGTACATATTCTCCTCATCTTGTTCATAAATTTTTGATATAATCATAAGGCAAATTGTAGTAGAGCTTTGTACCTGGAGAATCAGTATTTAAAAAATCTGAAGCTGAGCTTGGGACCATTTTGTTTTGGACCCATTACTGAACAAAGTGCATTAAAGCATCTTTTTCAAAAGACACCTAAAGCATGGTTATAAATTACTGAGCAAATCTTTAAAGCTGATATTCAATTTATCTTTTCTCTACACAGGCAGATATTCACCACTTGCATAATAATAACAAAACACTGCAGGAAAACCATTCTTTTAAAGTTGTCATACGCCTCAATCATCTCCCAAAATGATCATTTATACATAAGCATTGCAATAATTACAAAAAGCTTTTATCTGTAAAGGGGAAAAGAAAAAATGCACCTGATTCAGCTCTGAGATAAAGTACATAGAACCTCTATTGCCTTCACTGAAGCTCTTCTACCAACACCAGGATGAACATAGGGTCTCCCTATGCAGATTTCTACTGCTGCTGAAAGCTCACTCTTTACTTTTCATTCACAAGGTGAACTGTGCTTTCCCAAACAACCTGGGACAATGATAACTATGAGCAAATTCCAGCTGCAGTGTTTCTCCATCCAGCACATGCAAAACAGATTTCCTTGCTTTGTTGTAGACACTACACAGTGTATGACAATGAAACATTTGTATTTAATTTAAAACCAATGGTAAAGTGGCGCATGTCTCACTTCCGAGAGGTTGGCTGGGCTTGCTATGTTGAACCTTGTAAATCAGCAATAAGCATTCACATGTCTGCCATCAGAACCGTGACATCTTCCATTACAATCAATCCTTAAATGATGCCGTGCTCTATCAAATTAGTCTACAGTCAGACCTTGGATTGGCTGCTCTCCTCCAGTGCTGCAGATTCTCAGAGATGGTATGGGGCCTCCACATCCTCAGTGATTCTACAATGTTTCCCAAAGACGAAAGTGAAGCACTGGTAGATGGGAATATTGCCATCAATAAAATAAATCACCAGATGATTTATCCACTCACATTTCTAGGAGATACTCCACATGTTTTTTATGAACAGAGAGAGCATTGCCCTGTGAACAGAAGTAAATTAAACTTTATTCTTTTGCTGTGTTGGCGAGCTTCACTTCCTCGCTTGCTTATTTTTGTTCTTTTGTTCTGCACATTCCCATGTGCAAAGTAGAAATTGAGAGCTCTCACACTCGACAAGGCTGGTAATGAGACCGCTAATGTTGGTACAGTAAAACCTGAAGTATACTGACTTGTCCACTATGCAGTTTTCATCTTTCCAATTTTCTTCTATTATCCACTGTAAAATAAAACTATTCAAAAGGCTGATGAAACTTTAATTAACAGGACCACCAATGTGCAAAAAACCCCCCTTCCCAAAAAAACAAGAAGTTATTTCCCAGATGTCCATACTAGGCTTTCACTTTTCTCTTTTTTTTTCATTTTTATAAATAATTTATAAATCTTCCTGTAGGAGATGAAATACAAAACCAACCAAACAAAAGCAACTGAATAAAAGAGTTCTAAGTTACTATTAAAGCCACTTCTTGTCCTTCAGTACAAAATACACAGGAAGAGATTTTCTCTCCTTGTCAGTTTTGCCCGAATTTGGCAGCATTGTCTGGGATCCTCCAGCTCTGGGTGAGCTCCTGGTGGCCCTGCCTGGCTGCCCTGGAAGATGTGCCCTCCTACCTTTCGGCTTTCAGCACTCACGCGAGCTGCTCGGAGGAGTCTAGGTGGTCAGGGATGGGCAAGCCTGTTATAATGGTCAAACATTTATTCCACACCGTGAATGTGGGGCACACGGGCTGGCCAAATGTAATGTCAAAAGTGTAAAGGTGTAGGGAGTTCAAAGCATCATAAAAGGCAAGGGAACCGTTGTCGTAGTCCAGCAAAATCCCGACGCGCCGGAGGTGAGGCGCGGGCTCGATGGGGATTTCTTTGCTGTTGTGCCGCACCACCCATGTGTTATTGCAGCGGCAGAGCACCCAGGAGGCTGAATTCTTGCCAATCCACTCGTGCTTCGGCGCTGACTTGTAGGAAATGCCAATAGCATACCTGCAAAACAAAAGAACATCTCAAGGAAACAAATGCTTCCTGCCATTTTGTCTCTCAGTGAAGTCAAATGTTAGCCCAGAGGACCCGCTGGAATGCCCCCGCCTCTTACCGCCCTGAGTTAAGCTCTAATTAAACAACGTTTCACCACAACATCTGCACAGACTTAATTAATGCTTTCTCTGTCTCTCTTTTGGGTCTGAGAGGTCAGGGAAGCTCATGGTATTATTTCTAGCTTGGCAGCTATGGCAATTTTTTTGAGGGCTTGCCTCTGGTATTGAAAAGGAAGATTGTTGAATACTCAGCAACCCAGGGTTTAAATCACTGGACCTCAAATTTCCATTTCCAACAGATGAATACAGAGGAATTCATTGATTTTAAAATACACTGCTATCTGTCAGCTAATCTGATCTCTCCTTGCTCCTTTAATATGTGGCCCTGAAGAAGGAATGCAAGAATAAACATCAAAGGACACATTAAACATCTCTCTCCCCTCCCCCCCCATCCCCCCCCATTTTGCCATTTTCAAATATGTTTTGCCAGATGTTGGTGTGGTTTTCAGATTCAAATGAACATTTTTGAGACTGGGTTTCAAGCCAAGTTAAGCAACTGCAGGTGAAGACATTTGCTCTGCAAACCATAATTTATGGCAAGATGTGCAGGGCAGAAGGATTGTGAAAATATTCTCATTAAAGGATACTGAGGAAAAATACCGGATTTGTCATATATAACAGAAATGTAAAAGTTCCTCACGTTCTAGAGACACTGCAGTATTTGTTGGACTTTCAACCAACAGAGATTAATCTGCCATAAGTTTTATTCCCTCATTCCTTAGCGCTGGCACAGACAAACAACATTTTACTTCTTTGAGACAGTGGGAAATACCTGAAGACCCCACTGATTTTTCCACTCCATTAACTTTCATCATGATGTCTTTGAATACCAAAGGATAACATCTCTTCCATTGACTAAAGGCCCTCTGAAATACACCCCTGTATGACACAGAGGATCATTCAGAAGTGAAGGAAAGCAGTCTTCTGTTTCCTGCCCCTTGCTTCATTCCCTGGGGCACAGACTTACAGCTCTGCTGCCTCATGTCCCCTTCCCAAAAGCAAATCTGACCTCTGCCCCTGTTAAACTGGATCATCAAGTTGCCCTCAGTTTTATTTATTTTTTTCACAGAGAAGGACAGAAAATCTTGCACATTTAGTAGAGAAGTGATCACATTTACAAAGTTATCTCTGTGTAAACAAGATGAAAGGTTTTGATCCCTCCAATTAAAAAAATAAATCTTAATATATACTGTATGTGGGTTCAAAAAAGCAACCAACCCCAGCTGTGGAGTAAAAGTCCTGTGAAGGCTGCTAAATACAAAGATGCATAATCTGAAAAATTTATGTCTGGAGTCCAAAAGTGCTGGAGATTGGGAAACTCATCTGACAAACTATTTGAAAATACATGCTTGGCCTGATCTTACACTGTTCCTGATGTCTCTGCTGCGACTGGTCTCTGTCAGAGAAACTGTGCCAGCACCTGTGTGGTGGGAACCAGTGCTTCTTTTCCCCGATATCTTTATACACGTACCACGTGCTGCCGCTTATCACCACCTCCCAGTAGTGCCGCCCGCTGTCGATGAAGACGTTGCCAGCCACGCCGTAGCTGCCCTGGCTCGTGAATCGCTCTGGGGTGTGGCTCTTCTTGGATGATGTCTCATCCCGCTCCACTGTTAAGTTATCATGAGACACTTTCAATTTTCTATGAGCAGATTTGGGGTCCAGTTTAAATGGCTGACCTAGAGATGCAGAGATAAAGATGACAGAAGAATGGTTTGGCTTTGATTTTTAAAAGGAGAGTGGATTAGCAAGCGTCTAAGAAGCCCACAGGATTACATAACCATATTAATTTCCTCCTCTCAAGCATTCTTGAGACAGACTAACCTATCCAGCTCCGTGCAATAGCTAGTTTCTATTGCATTGTCAGTTTACTGTCAACTTCATTGTGCACTAACTTTCCTGTGTTGATAATCCCTGAAAAGAGCCCTGCATAATCATCATGTCCATTATCTATGACATAGAGGTAACCAGAATACTCTAATTCTTGCATGTAATTGAAACCAATATACATGCTAATAAAGGTCTGAGGGTTGCTTTTTTCACAGCATATTAGATTTAGAATAACTTGTGTTCTATTAATTCTCTAGGGGCAAAGCTCCATAATAACATCTTCATCATTCCTACAAAAAGTATGTTTTCAAATCCCACAAAATGAGTCTGAAAATTAGAAGAACTAGACTTGTCTCTTTGTTCAGTGACAGCTTTATCTGTAACAAGCACAGTCAACAATTCAGGATTGCTTTGGAATGATGCCCATGTGGTGCTGGATACTGTGCATTAAAAGGAAGGAAGTGAACTGTAACTTGGTCCAAATAATATGGTGCAATAACATTACTCAGGCTGTTGCTCTTGGCAAGTATCTTCGGCTGTAGCACAAGGTTTGTAGACAATAACAGGAAGCTTTTTGGTAAACCAAACCTTGTAGATATATAAAGCCCACCACAATTCTGACAGGCTTGCTCATTGTGTCAGAAAGCAGAATGATCATTTACCTCCACCAAGAGACAACTAGAAAACTACAGCTCCACAAGTGGTCCAGGAAAGCATTTTCTCTTCTTACCGTCTTTCATATCAAGGGGAAAAACATGTAATCAGAAGATTTGATGGCATGCACAGAAAATTTAAATTAGATCTCTCATGAAGCCTGTGTGAGGCAGTGGCACACATACTTAAAATAAGATGTAGACTGTTCAGGTTTATCTACTTTTGAAATGTGCATTTAACTACATATTATCACCAAACATAGAATAAACCCTTTGCAAAGTATTTGGGGGTTATTTCTTACTACCTGACACCAGTAACATAACCTTCTGCCTGCCTTTCTGACTGCTTAGAGCCTTTGTGTGCTGGAACAGTATCTGAAGGATGTCTCTCTGTACTAAATTGTGTCTGGTCACATCACATAGGTTAACAGCAAACAGGAGGAAATCAGAAAGGTGTCCATGCCATTCTCTTCAGACTCCTTGCACCACTCACTATCACCCCTCTTCAAGCACCCTCCCCTACAATAAGCAGGTTTCAGAAGATGCATAAATTCCAGTGTTTTCTTTCCAGCCCTCAGAACTGCCCATGATGACTACATGACTAAAGGATTAGTTTGTGCAAGAGGAAAAAACAGCTGAAAACTAGTCTTAAAATTGCTATTCTACATCTGTTAATAATTTGAGTAACCATTGTTTTTTTGAAGTGGGATCTCTGACTAGTCTATCACCGTGCTGAACTCCATAAAAAATGAGGGGGTTGAAGTCAAGAAGCTTTCCAGTGTCCTAAAAAAGAGATAATTCTGGAGGATAAGATTAGACTAGCAATTTTCTTATGAACACTACAAAAATAAAATATTTTACTGCAAACATAAGAAAAGTTTTTGCTTTGTAGAGGAAAAAAAATAGAGAGGATATTAAAACAAAACCACAAAAGAGTACTTTCAACCATTTCACGTACGATGGCTTCATTCCTACGCGATATTTCCAGTGATCAAACTACAGATATATCTCTCAAAAAAACCTCGATGTATTTTCTGCACTACAGAAGACTAAGGCAATCTTGAATTATATTAAATAAGTGGCTTTCATTTTGGAAACCACTTTAAAAAGCTGAACTTCTCTGTCCTCTTGTATTTTCCAAAGATCAGACCTAAAAAGGAAGGCCAGAAAGGAGAAGACTCCATGCATCCTGATCTGGTGTTACTCACTGTTTGTCTTGAGCTTGCCAGGCTCGCTGCTGCGGCTGCCAGCCTGATTGATGGCCTTGACAATGAAGATGTACTTGGTGCCACTCTGCAACCCGTGCACCGTGTAGTGGTTCTGTTTGATATTGGGAACAATCATCCAGCTGTCGGCTGAGTTGCATAAACCTGCAATTTTGAACACAGCACATCAGTCACAGCACACAAAGCACACAGAGGGACTTTTAGAGCATTCCCAGGCACCCAACGACCAATATGAGCTTTGCTTCTGTACCTTTTAAAGTGTTGTTATATTTACTGAGCCACTACTTAAAGTCACTAATTCATTTTATCAACCCTCAGCCAAGGCACCTTTTAAATTCTTGCTATGTGAAGTGAACCATAAAAAGTGGGCATTTAAGAAATGGCTCAGTGGAGACACTAGCAGTCTGAGATTTTTTCATATCCCAGCACAAGGCATTCTTTATTGCTTAAGAACTGGAGGATTACGGAGATCCCATCAATCTACTGTTTGGATTAATGAACTCAGTTTAAACCTCAGAAAACGAACGTGAGCAGTAAAGCCAGCAGGGCTGGGGAGGCACCTTTGCTGACAGTCCCCAGGTATGCATTCTTCAGAACTTGAAGCAAACCATGGGAGGCCAAACAGGGTAGAGCATGGGCTTCAGGGAAACCTTTGGCTCTTGCACGTCAGACTTTGCCAGAAAGTAATCTAAGCCAGTAAATTTAATGGATGCAACTTTTTGATTTATGTCCTCATGATGAGATGCCAGCTGGGAAAGTGCTGGAAAATTTTCCATTTATAAACCTTTTTGGTTTATATTTGGTTTACATTTTATGCCTACCACAGAAGTATAACACACAGGAAATAAGTAAAATAAGGCAGTACCAATATCATAAACAAATCAGGAAAATACCCTATTAAAATGAACTTTTAAATCTTCGTAAGTTTTTCCTACTGTGATATAAATGCAATGGCAGTCAATCACCCATACATACAGTTCCATCACTGTATATTTGGAACAGCTCCTGGTCTAATGGATTCCCCAGCCTCTTATTGTAGATGTTTACATAAAGAAAAAATTTAACATTTATGAAGAGTATATCTATTCACAACATTTGATATGGTTTTACAGCCAGAAATAGATAGATGCAAGTGGAAGTGTATGGATGTATGCACATATGTAAAGTTGGAAAATGCAACAGAGAAAGGCTGACAGACTTCTTGGCCTCTGTCTTTACTGGGCACAGAACACATTATGGAAGCTGTTGTTACTTACAGACAGCTTTCAGCTTTTAATGGATGTTCTACCAGCAAACCATTCATGAAGACAATCTTTTAGAACTTGGTAATAATTCAGCTCTGCATATCAGACAATATCAAAACTTTATGTAAAATAAAATGTGAAGGCTACTGTTTACAAAACTGGAAAGAAACAGATCTGTGATATGGATTTGCAGACTCATAGACAATTCATGGGCATACTGTGAGATTCCTTCCTAACGTGATATGTGCTTTTCATAATAAAAGATCATTAGAAACAGAATTTAAATGCCAAATTTCAATCTGAGTATTATCATGTTTGTGTCTCAAAATTCTCTTGCAGTACAAAGCATTTTTGAGAGGCAGGCAGAACAGAGATTCATCCTGCTGTGCAAATGGGTAACTGTGGGACAGTTTCAGGTTAGATTTATACTATCTTGCCACCTAATGAAGAGCTACAATGTCTAACCTATTTTTCTGTGCTCTGAGGAAAGGCAGAAATCAGTGAGTAGTTTCTTTCACTTCCCCATTTGTGAACATCCTACCAACTGCAAATGCCTCTCTTGTCCACAGAGGAAGCCAAGGTGATCAGCATACATGAGATCTCAAATTTCAGGTATCTAAAATGATGCGAGATGAGTCACTCATCTGTAGATAATTTATATATATATGATTGCATAGAACAACTATCTGCCTTTGTCATGAAGAGAAAGAACCCACTTTATACCCCATGGTAACCCCACCCCTTGTAGTGAACTGCTTAAAGCAACATCTGTCCATGTCTTCTCTCACTGAGCCCTACACACCAAATTATTTTTTTAGGCTGTGTGTGAATGGGTTTCCTATGAGGAAGAAAGAAAATAAAGGAAGCAGCTTCCTGACATAAAATATTTCACTGACTACTCAGAGGAAATCTCATCTTTTCCCAGTTTGCCACAGATATTAATTGCACACTCATGTATCTGAACTACCACATTGATTTTGCATCGAGACTATCCCTTACTGGTGCTATTGCAAAATAAATTAAAGTATGTTAAAACAAAAATAAGCACTGCTTTTAAAAGGAATTTAATATGATCAAGGAGTCTTTAACTAAAATGCCTCTGATAGGATACCAAATAACATATGACAATAAGCGGGATGGATACAGACAGTGGTCCTAGAAGTGTCTTCTCCAACCACAACCACATTTTGAAAGCAAGTTCTCTGGTATGTATAAGCCATATATAAACTGACCATTATGCAGACACAGAAATGCCTAGAGTTTTGGTAACTCATCTAGAAACTAGTTTTGTATTATTCACTACAACTCTCTAATGGGCACATTTTTAAGACTTCCATTACACTTTTTACGATACCCTCCAGAGGCTGATTGCTCCTTAACCAAGTATAAAACTTTGCTCCAAATAAGTATATAAAGGACAGTAAAGGAACTGCTGCATTGCTATGAGTCTCCTCTTCAGTTCATCCCCTCCTCCTGGGTATGTGGATTTATACATACCAAATAATCACTGAAGGCCTTACCTACCCTGAACACTCTGCAAAGTCAATAGAGAGAGCCATTGGAAAGTTAACATTTGATGGCCAAGGTCCAAATAGAGTATTTCATTTGAATTCTACTTCATACAGGAAAGATTATTTCCAAATGTGGCCATGACCTGACTCATGTTCTAGAGGAAAGCTCTATCCTCTTTGATGACAGAATACATCTTAGGTTTCCTTTCTTTGTCCTTCCACTCTTAGGCATCCCAGACTATTGATGTGTAATAAATGCTGGATGTGCAGTGACTGACTCGGTTATTTTACTTGACAAACCTTGTTGTCTTAAACAGCTCAGCTCTTGCCTATGCACCAAAGGGCTCAATGATATGTTCTTGTGCTTTCTGACTGTAAACTCTTTGATAACAGGCTTTAAATTGTACTTTGACTCAAAAATCCTGGGAATGAAGTATTGATGATGCCAAACTACAAGCCCAAACTCCTTCAAAAGGGAGAATAGTTACTTGTGGCAGCCAAGTTAAGCATTTGCTTATGAAAGAATAATTTGTCACTGCATCAAAGGAATTTGTCAGCAGTTATGCCCTGTCAGGACAGCCTTTCTTCTCTGAATACAAAAGAATATGATTAAGGAAGTTCAGGGAAATGAACAAGCAGCCTGATCACACTGGCATCCAGGGGAGGTGTTTGCCCTCTCAGTTCCCTGCCGGTGGCAGCAGGTGAAGTGGAAAGTACACATCTCCTCACTGGGGCAACAGCAGGAGCCAAGGTCTCCCATTGTACCCACTCCTAATCCAGGCTGCATTCAGGTTTCTTGTTTCAAAAACCCAGGGCTTTTTACAGGGTTATGCAGATGGTAAAACAATGTATTTTAAAACTGTAGCCTACAAAAATGTAGAGAATTTAAATTACATCCTGGAATGGTGCAGTGAGCACAGTGATGTCCATACAGGATGTGTGAGTTTTCAAAACAAGTTTCTCAGAGTCTGGAGGTAATAATTTGTAAAGCTATTTCCCTGGTGTTGGCTGTTAACGCACTTTAAAAAACACATGGGAAAAATCCCAAGGTGTAACTCTTCCTAAAATTTACAATGATAGATTTTAATAAAATATATTTTCTTGAAAATTGGAAAAGGAGCACAAAAGTCATAGGAAGGTCATTTAATCTCTTGAGTATTTTAATTATTGTAAAATGTTTTATTTAAATAAATTATTACCAATTCAAATTGGTAAAGCAAATAAGGTAGGTGAAAGTAACAAATAGCTCTCCATCCCCACTCTTCATTCCAATTTGAAAAAAAAAAAAAAGGCAGGATTTCTGAAAAACACATTGATTTTGTTTTAAGAAATACAGTCATTTTATACTTTTAAAGATGCACAAGTTTTCCTGGTTTTATCCCAAATTTGCTTTTGTGCCATTAAACATTCTCACTAAAATCTCTAGTAGAAATCTGAAGACTGTAAGGAATTTTATTAGATTTTATTCTTATTAAAATAAAACTTCCAGAAAGAGGCAAAGTCTAATTAAAAATATTAAATTATACTAATATTAAAAATTATTTGATGAATCATAAATTCACTATTTTTCATTGAAGATTGGGCTCCTAATTGTCTTAGGTCCTTCCAAAAACTTTTATCCTCCCTCAAAGGAAGAGAATTCCTATTACAGTGAAAAGGTTCTGACAGTAGTACACTGTATCCTTCACAGAGTGATTTTTTTAGAAATTAGACAATATAACTAATTATCCCTGATTTCTTTTACAAAGTAAGAGAGAATGATTTGCTGCTCTTCGTCAAGAAGGGAAAGATGTATTTTTCCTGAAGAATCTTGCATCAGAGCTAGAGAAATATTTGAACCATCCTGAAACACACTTTAACAAATCCACGATGTTAAAAAAGGGCATACTCAATGAATACTTCAAAATCTATTGAAATGGGGTAATGAAATTATAATGCATGTTAGTTAGCTCGTGACAAAGTAATTTTAAAAGCTTTTACCGTATTCAGATTGCAGGTGATTAGCTGCCTCTCAGAAATGCAAATGTACAAATGGTGTAACTCTGAGGACAACTGCTTTAGTAAAAGCCTACTTAATCTAGAGTTCCGTGTTGCTCTTATGCACAGAGCAGGTCTGCCAAGCATTCTATAGCCGAGAAGTTTGGCCACATTTGGAAATAATCTTTCCTGTATGAAATAGAATTCAAATGAAATACTCTATTTGGACCTTGGCCATCAAATGTTAACTTTCCAATTTTTCAGTTAATAAAAAAGAATATAGTTGATTATGTTGGATAGAAAGTATACTAAAAAAACATAGCATTGCTTGTTTTTGTTACTGAATTCTTAGCAATCTCTGGATGATATATGCCTCTGGTGGGGGAAATGTACTGTGAGTGGAAAGTGCAGTCAGGCTGGCTGTGTGGTTTAAGAAACAGATTCCAAAATAACAGCCTCCATTAGCACAGTAGGTGGGTATATATGCAAAGTGATTCCTATTGTCTCCAGGGAAAAAGCTTGTGGGTTTAATGCACTACTTGAGCTACTCCCTGGTGACTAATTCATAGCTAAAAACCCACAGAACTGAAGTCAATCTATGAGCCTGTTTACATTATCTGCTATATGCAACTCACAATACCAGTGGGAATTTCCTGGATGTGACAGAGAAATAAAAATACAGTTATGTGCAACAGCATGCATATGCCATAAATTTCGAGGAAATTTTTGCTAATCCAAAGTCTAGAACAGGATTAAAAGAACCCCAAAATGCAAACCTATCTCCAGTTCATCAAAAGTTGAAGGCTGCAGTGCAGCACCTGTTAATGCCACTTACAATGAGAGCAGCTCTCTGTGTTCCACATCACTACCAAGGTACACTGAGATATTCTAAGAACAGCCTTGGAAAGCCATTTGTAACAGGTGTGATGTGAAATCCTTCTGCAGGATCAAGAATAGAATGTAACAAAGCGAATAAACATCCAAGCAGTGTTCTGAGGATGGGATTGACAGGGCAAGAAGAAACGGTCTCAGGATGTACCAGGGGAGGTTTAGATTGTATATTAGGAAAACTTTCTTCATGGAAAGGCTGGTCAAGCATTGGAACAGCCTGTCCAGGGAAGTGGTGGTGTCACCATTCCTGAAAAGATTCACAAGTCATGTGGATGTGACATTTAGGGCCATGTTTTAGTGGTGGACTTGGCAGTGTTAAGTTAATGGATGGACTCAATCATCTTAGAGGTTTTTTCCAACCTAACTGGTCCTATGATTCTGTGATGTTAGTATTATTAATCTCCAATACCTGTGTAATTTGGAATGACCTGGGAGAATCTCATATTTTAGAAACCCAGGCAGATTTGTAGCATGTTGGCAGGAAGATCACCATTGGAGGGGTTCAAGTCTATATTAAATAAAGATATTTAAAAAAAGGCTTTACAACATTTAGAAAGGCCTTTCAAATATACTCATGCATGTATTTAATGTGGGTTAACATTATAGCTTTCAATTAGACCAGGAAATTTGCATAAGAATTAGCTCTGTTAAAAAAAAACCCTCAAAACAAAAATCTGAACAAAACAAAATAAAACCCAAAAATATCACCAAAAAAAGGAAGAACCATTCTTTCATTTCTTTTTACTTTCATTTAAGGTCTTCAGAGCATTTTGTAATTAAGTTTCTTACAGTGTTGATTTGCTTACTCTTCAAAGTTTTAATTAACTATTTTTGCAAAATGATAATATGGAAGTTGAGACTGCATACTGAGCACCTCATGCTATGCTTGAAAATTATAATGCATCCCTGAAAGCAGACATTGATATATGTTTTTCAGATCAAAGCTTTCACCTCCACATGGGAAACCTACACTACAGCTCAAAATAGAAATATCTTGTTATTTATTCACTAGTAAGCAAAGAGTAAAATCCCACATCCCAAGGCTGTGGACAGGGCACACCTTTTGCTGCTGCCATGTTCATACATAATGTGCAAGTCAATTATTGAATTGACTAGCACAGCATAAAGCCATAGATAAAAATGGACTAGAAAACAAGCAACACCAGCTTATCATTGTCGTCTCTGCTTGGTAGTGATTTATCAGAGAATGTTTTCCTTCCTTATCTACCTTGCTTCAATTTTTGAAAAATTTCTATTAGAATTTTTTATTATTCCGCTTGCTCAGATGTAGAAGCATGTGCTGAAGTTTATTTGGTCTTTCCAACAGAGTTAAATTTTGCAGTGTGTTCTTCAAAATCAGACTCTTAAGGGAAACACTAAATGGAGGTTTTGACAAAACATTCATCAAATTTTCAATAATCCATCTTCTTCTTTCAGTCAGTCCTGAATACTGTAATACATTCACAGTATGCTACTTAAAAAAGGTATTAAGATGCCAGCACATGAATCGTCACGTGTCCTTTCAGATGGTTTGGAAAATAAACTCCTGCTCAGTGATGGAGAGGATGAGGTGCACAGTAACAGAGGAGTCAGTGGGAGAGTTTGGCTGAGAACTCAAACTTGGCGTAGACCATGCCATTTTTCCACTGACATAAAGCATGTAAACATGGCCACTGCACTGACTTTCCTCAAAGTATCTCAACAAATTTTCTTCTTATAAAAAAGTTTTGCAAGAAGAAGAACACTTCTGCCCAGTGTCAAACTAAGCCTATCTAGCTCAGTGCGTGGCCAGGGAATTTGATGCTGGGGAAAGATGGGGGTGTACAAAGGTTTCAAGGAACAGGGAGAGCACACACTCATCATTTCTTACCTTGCTTTCCCAGGCATCAACAGCTTACAGCTCTGGCAATTCCAGAGCAACTTCACTGCACTTTATTGCTCTCAGTGTATTTTTCTTGCATGATCTGTCCAGGCATTTCTTGAACTCAAAAACACACCAACCCCCTGTGGTGATGAGTTCCCTATCTAAATATGTGTTGACTTGAACAAACTCCACATTTTGATTGATTTGGCTCATTTCAGAATCCTTGTTTAATAAAACAAGTCTGTGTCAGCTAGTGGTATGCCCATTAAATATACAGAGACCAGGAAGAAGTTGAATGACTTCTCCAAATTCATAGTCAAAGACCCCAATGATTGCAGAACACTGAATCCAGAAACGTTGACTTCCTGACCAAAGATTAGACTATATTTTTTTTTTTTGAGGAGAAGTTATTTAACAATAAAGCAATCCAAAATCTAATTAAGTAAATTCAGCCATTAAAGAAAGTCACAGACTCAAAACATAGAGTGTACTCATAAAAAATGTGCTATAATACAAAATATACAATATTTGTTAATCTCATTTTAAATAAAACCAAGTTAACTTATAAATTGTTGTTCCACTGATGTTTTCTGATTTAGCCTGTAGTTCAGTGAGACCTTTGCTTTGTAGCCTTGAAGACAATAAAAATCAGAAGGAAGGACTTAATCTGTATTTCAGACAAAGGTCCAGATGTCAAGTTTATATAATGACAATGGGGCTGCAGTTTTAAGTAATGACCAGTTCAACACAGGCTCCCATGTGCACACTACCTGACTAGTGCAGAGAATGGAACTGAGATCTTTGAACTTGCTACATCTGCAAAAAGGAACTTGGGATGCCTTTTAAAATCATTATTGGTTTGGATTGAAAATTTTGGCTTTAAATCTTTCTAGAAAATAATGTTTTCTTTTGTTCTTGACATAGGAGTATATTTATCTTTAAAGACACTTGGGTTTCATAGAAACCATGAGGGAACAACGAGAAAAGAGAAGGTTTATACTCACTAACAACGTTGGCTTGTCCAGTGAAGATGGTGTACTGCAGCTCATAGGAAACCACACAGAACTCATCATCTGATGTCCAGTGCACAGTGATGGTATCATAGGAGGCTGTACAGAGCTCTTCTCGAATGGTGGGAGGGTTGGGAGCTGTGAGACACAAAACAGCAGCACAGTCAGTGAAGTGTTTCCCCTCTCCCCTGAGATTAGGGGATGTAGTTGATGTATGAGATTGTAGAGACATCATCTAACAGACTTTTCAACAACTTTTCACTAATTCCAGTGCTAACTTTGATTATCAATTGACTGTTAGGAAGGAATTCTTAATACTACATAAACACCTAGGAACTCCATATTTTGAAAATATTTTATATTAAAGTAGCTTTAGTTCCAGATGTCATAGACCAAGTGATGTATCTGTGTCACATTAGATGGATACAATGACAAGTTACTTTTTCTAAGATTGTTCTGATCATTTCACCAAACGTATCAAAATTTCACTGAAGCATATCAAGAGGGAGGGTCAACACTCTTCACTGTTGATTTGAAAGCAGTGCTTGCCCAGCCTATCTTACCAGAGATTGCCATAAGTGGCATTGTGGTGGTGCATCCTTCCTGGCCCTGCTCTAGGCTGCACTATGATCTGTCATTCATTAGCAACAACTATTTTAGAAGTATCATTTTGGAGAAGCTGCCAACACTCATACTTTCATGTCCAATTTTCTCCTCTCTCCATTTTTATTGATCTCCTAGCTATCCTTTCAAACACAGATACATATAATTTCCTCTGGTTATAAAATTAACATTTTGCAGCATTAAAAAAAGAGTCCTTATCATAACATAATGACTATATGAATATTACAAGCAAATAGTCACCCAGGAGCCCTCTGTCTCTCTGTTTTTATAATCAGCAGGCAAAATCTTTCTGTAGCAAGATATACAATCTTTTCCCATATTAACACATGAATTTGTTCTAAAGACCTACTTAAAGTGAAACTTGAAGCAAATTACTGGGGTCTAATTTTCCTGTTTGCAATTTTTAAAAAGCCAAACACCTAAACAACAAAGAAATGAGTCCCCCCTATTCCTGAGGGATGTTCCTGCATGCTTGAGTCAGTGGGAGCTTCATTCCAAATCATCTTCCCTACAAGCCACATCATGAAAAGAGGAATCACAAATCCTTTTGCTTTAATAGTGTTTCTCCCAGCTGTCACAGAGTGAAGAAGGAGGGCACTCAAGCTGAAACAACCAAATTATGTTTGAATTAAAGGAAAAGGAAGGCAACTATGAATGTTTGTGGTTTGGTTTTGAGTTTCTTTTTCTGTCAGCTCTTTAACCTCTGATAGCCACAAATAATAGCCTGAAAAAAAAGTCCCTCTGAAGGAATTCCACCTTTACTTTTGCAAGATCTTATTTTGATGAAACATCTATTTTTTTCCATCAAGAATTTTTATGGATCATGTCTCTGGCTTACTGATGTATGTTCCCAAGGATTAGAGTGCAGACAGGTTCCCAGGCAGCCTCTTTTAACCAAGGGGCTTAAGGAAAAGTTCAAATGTGTTTCAGGATACAACCATGATTTGTGATGCTCTAAATATTGAATCACAGAAGCTTGTGCTTTTTTTTTTTTTAACTTGTCAGAAAAACCCTTGGGACAGAAGGGTATTAATGAAAAGAAATACAAATAAACTCAAGTAAGAACAGCTATCTGTGAGAAGAATGCAATCAAAATGCAGGGAAAAAAAGGTCCACAGTTTTCTGAAAAAATTAATGGCAATATCAGCTATGTTCCAAAAATGTATCCTGTATAACAATCACTGGAGGTTTTAATTTTTTTTATTCCAACGGGGGCTTCATTTCAATATTTTGCCTGTCCTTCAAAAACTGGAACAAGTGTTAATAACAAATATACGAGGAGATAAATTTTTATTTGTCTGATGGTATTCGACTAAAGTTTTCTTCTGTCATCTCCTGCACCTAACAGCAAAACATTTTACTTGAGAAATGTACTTGTTATTATTTCAACACAGAAAATAAATATTAATTTATGGAAAACAAAAATTACTGAAGGTTTAATTAACTGCAAATTGCATTTCAATAACACCTAAGCATCTTCACCTTTGAAAATGGCATCTTAAGTTTGCTCTTTGTGTGCACACCTGGCCTTATAGCTGCAAATCTACAGGCTTTCATGTAATGAAAATGTCTGAAAGAAATTTTACCTTAGAAAGACATATTTTCCCTGACTGTTGTGACTAACCCACACTCACCTGAGACTATATTGCATTAATTCTGCTCTTTGGCAACATTCATTTCATCTACTACTCAGAATAAAACAAATACACCTGCTTCTCCTACATAAGGGCAGGCAACTCTACATTCAGATGCTTTGTTATGACAAAATAATGTATCTGTCTGACTGCCAAATTCATCATTCCACAGCACATACTCCTTTAGAGAGTGTAAATTTGTAATGCAATTAAAGAGATTGACCTCAGCCAGTTAGCTTCACTCAGTATTGCATTTGGTAGTGTGTGATTTGGTGAATTATTGAATTCACCAGCTCTGTTACAGGGCTCTGTGCCATGGGAACCTCTCAAAGACTCCAGTGATCTCAAGGCTGCTCCAGCAGGTTCCCCTCCCTGGCTCGGGTGTGATTCACACTGCTCCAGAGGGGAAGCCCAGCATGCTTCCAGCACAGCAGAGGAAGGCACAATCCACTTCTCCATAGAGGATCAGAGCACATATCTGGGGGTGGAAACTGCTTCACACACTCAGACCTTCATTCAGTTTTGTGAATCAACACTCTCTCACAAGACAGAAAAATCATTGCTAAAGGCTGTTTTACTTCATTGTAGCTCCAAACTGAGTACACACACTTAAAAAGTCAGTAACCACACCTAAAATGCCTGAAAGGCACTAATATTAGAAATGGAGTTTCTAAATTTGCTCTCAGGAGTAACTCATCTCACCAGCATAACTACTCCCTTTCAACCCTTTTAGTTTAAGGCACCTTCCTTTCTGTGTCATCTGCATGGCTTTTGCCCTGATGGTGCACAAGGTCTGCACACCTGAGGGACACTTTAGGGACACTGCCACCTCTCCCTGGTGAATTCCAGCATTAATGCAGCGTCTCCTGGGTGTCTATTGAGATACTATCTAAATCCTCTCAGCACAAGGTCACAGAGACAGACTAAAAAAACTCAAATTAATTTTGTTTGCTCAGTTTCTCTCTCCCTGCTGTCATGCAGTGACTGACTTTGTAAAGATTCCTTATGGATTTTGAAACTGAGTATCAAGACCTAAAAGAAGACCTAAGCAATCTGCTTGAGTTAATTGTCCCAGAAATATCCATATTGCTGGTATGACTGTGAGGGAGTTGCAGAGCTGCTCTGAACCTCTCTTTTGGATACTCACTACTGATTCCATTTTGTATCATGGCACTGGGCTGAATCAGCAAGGAGGAATTGGAAAGGCACGGTTCCATCAGATGTGGATACAAATTTTATGTATTATTACATTGTCATGTGTGAGTTACTACCAAGGGCTTGGTCATACATACAAACCATCTCAACTCAGTCTTTGGGCAGACCAGGACTGCTCAAAGCCAACAGAATGAGAAGAGATTACACGAGCGTTGTCTGGAACTGGTCTTTGATTTTTCAGTGCTGAAAGGGTTAAGCAGTAAGACAGGCTGTCAAGAGTTTCCAGAACAAAGTTGTTTCTGTGTGAAAAAATTGCTGGCATATGCTAGGCAATACATATTTCTTTGTGCAGTCATAGGTGAAGTGATGGATGAAAAAAACTTATCATTGTTTCAGATAGGATTTCTGAAGTAGGGCAAATTGCAAGGTCAAAGAATGGATGCTCCTGCAATTGATTTCAAAGTATTAGGACACAAACCAAGCACTTTTGATTCACAATGGACAAAAAAGTCCTTATGACAGTAATATTGTGCAGAGAGTTTGCAAGTTGTACATATTGCCTGGATCTAGCTAGATACCTGTCTAGAGAAAGATGGTTTCCAGATGAAGAGCTTGAGCAACTGTTAAGATAAGAATGCTTTCAAAAGACATCAAGGCTATATATAGAGAGAATAGAACAGGCAGATGAAGATTAAAAGTATTGTTTTAATATACTGAGCTTGATATCTCAATCTGATATCTCTGTCTGGTTGGCAACTTTCAAAAAGATGCCAGAGATTTTATTTGGATAGCAGAAGCTTTGGGCAGACATCTACGTAAATGATAAGCACAAACTAGTTAAATTTATTTCTTCAGTAAAGCCTAGGAAGAAAGAAAGATAAGGTTGGGGATATAGAGATTGAAGAAGATCTGACAAATATTATACTGGGAAGAACCAAAGGAGAAAAAAATCTCCAGGAGACAGCCAAGGTCAATGGTTTCAAAAGCAACTCACAGCAGAGATAATGAAGCTGGAATTTAGGTTTTGACATTTTGTTCAGAAGCAGTACAGATGACAGTCATAAGGTAGGCTTCTTCACTTAATTCACAGCATAGATCTATGGCTAGGATGTACAAATGGTTTTGTTTTACTTAACTGTGAAATGTGATAAAAGTAAAGCCTAATTCACTCTGTCACAAAGTGTTCAGTTTATGATCTATGAAAATTCCATGCACCAATCTGAAAGGAGTAATATAAAGCTTTCTCTGGAGTTTCTGGACAACAGTATATATATATATATATATATACACATATATATATGTACACCTATAGCTCATGTATAATTATTTACATGTATTTACATAAATGTATTTTAACTGTCTGCATAGGTTGCATTTTATGCTCAGATCATTTGGACATGTGCTTTGCATTTTGCCACTGCAGCCCATATGCTATTTATTAATGTGAAGAAAAGCCAGTTAGAACTGTTTTTCACTGGGCATCAAGGATAAAAATGGTTTGTTAGGGAAAAAAAACCACTAAAATGCTTGATATATAAGCAAATTTCCTTAGACTGCATTGCGAGCAATTTTTTAAGGCTGTGGATGAGTTAGGAAAAAGGCAGAGAAGGACCTATGTAAATGACACGGATCAGAGAAAATATCTTTGTAGCAAGACAACCCTTCATTTTGGTACAGATATAACCTTTGTTTTCTGGAGTGCACAGCAATTAAGTTAATAATATTGACATATTATGTACAAAGGGGAGAAGACCTGAGGGATGCAGGAACAGACTGCTAGACAGAATTAACCTGATATAACTTCACAGATCTAAACCACAGCTATCTGCATTTGAATAAGTACATCTATCCTCTGTTTGGAGACAACTGGGAGAAGCAGACAACTCCAGAATGGAGTCTAGTGCCTCAATATATGTTCCTCAAAATGAGATGGTTATTTCTCTTCTTTGATCATAAAGGAAGATAAGACTGATTATTTTAGAGGTCGATTGCTAGATTAGGGTGAATGAGTCAGTTTTTTGTTTTAATCCTTTATTTCCTTGGATTTTTATAAATTTAGAGTGAAGGCTGAACACGATGGCAAAATTCCTGCAGATTTAGAGAGAAGCAGACAACATAAAATTTCCCTGGTACTGTACAAGAAGCTGAAATTGATCTTATCACATTATTGTTGTGTTTTATTTACTTTAATATGTGTTAGACACTGATTGTACTTATCTGTCACACAGTGACAAAGAAATTCCTTGCAGATATAATTTCTCTTTTAGATGTGGCAAGAATCCCACAGCTCCAGCAGAGTGCTGCTGCCCTGTGCATGCACCCAGTCTTGTGCTTCCCAGTATTGACCTATTCACTATTTATAGAATCACAGAATCAGAGAATACTTTGGATTGGGAGGAATCTTCAAAGGTCATTTGGCTCAATCTCCAGACAGTGAGCAGGGACAGGCTGCTCAGAGTTCTGTCCAACTTGACCTTGAATGTTTCCAGGGATGGGACCTATACAGCCTCTCTGGCAACCTGCTCCAATGTCTCACCACTTTCATTTTAAAGATTTTTTCCATACATGTAGTCTGAACTTACCCTCATTTGGTTTAGATCTGTTACCCCGTGTCCTTTCTCAATAGACACTACTAAAATGTTTTAAGTGCTGAACACCGCAATGAGGTCTCCTTGGATCCCTCTCATCTGTAGGCTGAACAACCCTAACTTTCTCAGCTTTTCCCCTGAAGAAAAGCCAGAAGCCAGTCCTCTGCTTGGAGTCCTCTGCTTGGAAAAGAGAGTGGTTAGCAATGCAGAGGCTGCATCCTCACATTCTCCTGAACTAACATAAGCATATCCTCTGAAAACTGGGACAAGTGAATGGACTCAGGAAGTGTTTTCCAATGCTCTTCCAACAGTGCTTTGTGCCTTTCATTGCAAATTCTTGCTGCTAACAGCAGATGCTTAAAGACGCTGCAAAATAAAAACCTACCACATCTCTTCTGTTTTCAATTGAGCTGGAATGAATTGTTCTAATTCTGGCATTGAAATCAAAACACCCTAAATTACAGTAATTTGTTTCTCTTTGTGAGTCATTGTACACTCTGAGACTACACATTACTCAGGCTTTCAGTAAGGGTCTAATCCTGTGGGCTTCCTCAGGCCAAAGACCTCAGTTAGGCGAGGTGGGGCTCTGCAGGGTGGAGATCCCACCCCACAGCCAGGCTCAGAGCACACTACACACTCTCTAGCTCCAGACACAGCCAGATCCTCCAGTTCTGTGATGGGGGAAATTCACAGTGTCACCGACATGAGAAAACATCTTTCACTGCTGAGCCTGTGATGTTGATTGCTTGAGCAGCTTCTGATTGCTGATGGGCACTCTGCCAGGCAGCAATCTGCTGCAGCAAGGAGGCAGCCCCCAGGGACAGGGTAACACCTGGAGCATCCATCTCCTGGGAAACAGGGCTTGGTCCCTGCTCTCCCTCCTCTGGCTGCTCCAGGCAGAGCTCCAGCTGTTCTTTCACTGCACTCTGCTGCAGTGGCTTTTAATAATTTCTTAAACCTACTTCCTCGCACTCTGTTGGTGAAGAACACAAGGAGAGGAGGTGGGAAATGCACTCCAGTTGTTTGAAGCACCCAATGCTTCCTGGGGTGTTCTGGGGCTGTTGGAGGTAATATATTCAGGATTAAGAGGGAGAGTGTATTTGGTTTATGCAGCAAGGTTTTGCGAGTGGCTGGGCTGCAAGGGTTATCTCTGTCAGAAAAGATCAGGAGCTGACTCAGTATCAGACACAGACAGTTCTAAGATCCACCTGCCACTGTCCAAGGCTGAGCCCATCACTAGTGCTGATAGTGCCTCTGTGATAGCACTTTAAAGAAAGGAGAAGAAAGGCTGTGCAGCAGTGGGGGCAGAGAGGAGTGAGGAAATGTGATAGAAACAGCCCTGCAGATGCCAAGATTGGTGAAGGAGGAAGGAGAAGAGGTGCCCCAGGTGCTGGAGCAGAAACTCCCCTGCAGCCTGCAGTGAAGGCTGTGGTGATGCAGGCTGTTTCCATGTAGCCCACAGAAGACTGCAGTGCAGGAGATGTCCACCAGCAGCCCTGGAGCACCCACACTGGAGCAGGCTGGTATGCCCTGGAGGAAGCTGCAGCCTGCAGAGAGAGTACCACATGGGATGAAGATTTCTAACAGGAATTGTGGCCCATGGAGGACTCACTGCAGCAGACCACTCCTGAAGGACTCATCTGGCAGAAAGGACCCACTCGGGAGCAGTTGTTGGACAATGGCACCCTTGGAAGGGCCCATGTTGGAGGAGCTCATGAAGAGTTGCATTCTGTGGGAGAAAGCCCATGCCAGAGTAGGGGAAGGGCACCAGGAAGGAGTGGCAGAGACAATGTGTGATGAACTGACCACAACCTCCATTCCTCCGCCCCAAGCACAACTTGGTGGGGAGCAGGTAGAAGAGCTGGGAGTGAAGTTGAGCCCAAGAAGGACAAAGTGGGGGAAAGTTTTTTGTTAGATTTATTTTTATTTCTCAGTGTCCTACTTTTACAATTAATTTGCAATAAATTACATTTATCTTCCCTAAGCTGTCTGTTTTGCCTGTAGCAGTAATTCTTGAGTGATCTCCTTGTCCTTATCTCAACCCATGAGCTTTCATCTTATTTTCTCCCCTTACTGAGGAGATGGAGTGAGGACCTGGCAACCAGCCAAAGTTACAACCACAGGGAGAACTGAAGAAAATCCTATCACTACTATTTTATGAGGAATACATAATAGTAGCACTTCAAGAAAAAAAAAGTACCTGTAAGGTAATCAAGGCATTCCAACAATTTCTTCTCCCTGGTAAAATCAAGTGCGAAAGTATCAAAAGTATCATTGAGATTAATTTCAGGAATTAGAACCTGGGAGGATGCAGTTGCCATGGAAACCCTGTAATGAAAAGAAAAATATCTTTTAGCCCTCAAAACACAATGACTTCTATATCAAGGTGGACTTGATCAATATGGTTGTTACAGCTTCTCAAAAAACTTGATAAAAGCTTATATACGTATTTTAATTATATGTTTTAAGTTAGGAACTTCTCCTGCCACTTTTATTTTTGACAGAAAGATCTCCAATATTTTTATTTTTTTTTACTGAACTTAGGCCTATCATGCAGTATCAGATAAGATTTTAACAAAATATTGGCCAAATAACAATATCCCTTGAATTCTTCTTTTTAATCATCCATGGAACCAAAGAAGAAAGAGCTCTGTAATTAGCTGTGTTTAAGCAATCCTGACAATGCTGCATCTCTCCCAGCCCTTGTTTTTCCAAGCAGCTTCTTGCTGCAGGCACGCCTTGGCACTGCTGTCCCAAGGGCTTGCTGCAGTCCCCACAGCTCCTCAGCTGCTCAGCACAGCACACTGCTGCCAACTTCAAAAGGCACAGGAGGGAGACAAAACAAATAGATGTCAGCATGGTTTATTTTAGAAGGCTTTTCCCTGCAAAGCATGTGTGCATACTTATATTTCCTCCAAAATGGAAAAGTTTCCTCACCTACCTCATTTCAGGAGCTACATTTTCATTTTCTCTGTCCAGATGTACTAATATAAAGAGATGAACTTTCACAAGAAAAATTGCATTTTCCAGTCCATCCAGCCTGCTTTCACCAAATGCATATTTCTGGAGAGCTGGAAACTGGATGTGTTTACAGAAAGTTTGACTGGTTTAAGGAGAGAGATCACTAAACCTTATGCTATACAACAAAAATTGGGCAAATGTTTCAGTTTGGAGATAAACAGACAACTATGCATGCAATCTATGTCTGTTATCTGTTATGACATTTATGTCTGTTATATTATTTATGACATGTCTGATCAAAATATTTGATTGCTTCAATTTAAAATTTTCCAGTATTATTCTTTTTCTGTAGACTGGACTGAAATGACTCCAGGACGAATGTTTACTAAAGACTATTTTTTCATATATTTTTTGTGTAGTATTTTAGGAAAATACAATAAGGCAAGTCAAAACCAGAGCCGTACATTTCATTGTCTTCAGCATAGTTTTCAGAAGCTGACCTGAGGAGGTTTCCTGGTCAATATTCTTGTTATACGATTTTCAGCACTGTTTCTGCTGCAGCTGTGAATGTAAAATTCAGTTTAAAGTAGATCCTAGGGCAGATTTTTTTTAAATTTTATTTTATACCAGCAGGTCTTTTTGGACTGTTCTAGGGGAAATGCAAAAGGTGCTCTGTATTTACATGTGTTACAGTCAGTTTTTGGTGAGATCAACAATTCAAAATTTCAGACACCCTGCTGAACCATATTAGGTTCAGAGGACTGAATTTCGTCCTGTAATTCTGCCTACTGTTGACACTGTAAACACTGACACTGTACTTGATTGGAAAGGGTTTTTCTAGGATAAATGTATTTCATCCACTGCAAATAATGCACAACTTAATCATCAGAGTGAATGTAATGACTCTGCTTGTGCAGTTACCTGTTGTGCTTACAACAGAAAATATTTTACTGCAATTACTTTGAAATGTGTGGAAAAAGAAATTCAATGAGCATGATTTCAGGAGACTTCTTTAGCTGCTGGAGCTCAGAGCCCTAGTGAGACTGTTACATGAGCAGTCTAAAAGCAAACAAAATGTTTCTCACCATGGGAGAACTAAGAGAGTTACTTGTGAGGAATAATTTACAATTCTATTTAGCCCCTTTTTCCACTTGAAATTTGTCTGCAAGCACTTGGTATCTTTTTTACCCTTGATTTTATTCACTGCTTGGAATGATTCTCTGATTTTCAGGGTGGTCACAGCCATTTCATTACAGACAACAATCTGTGATAGCCAAGAATTGTTTGATTGGGCACATATGTCAGCTTGTCTGATTTCTGCTCTCCTAGTGTCCCTCCTGTGAAAGTAGAAAGTATTGTATTTATGATGCCATTGTTCATGCTTACAAGTTCAAAATGGAGTTTCTCTGAATATTATGTAGTAGTCAGTTAGGAAGCCCGGGGTCTCCACAAGTTTGTGCCCTACTGCTGCTTCTGCTGAACGCTGAAAAAAAGGGAAGACCCCACCTTCAGCTTTAGATACTCATTGTACTTTTACTACTGACTTCAACTGGGATGCCAAAATGTTGCTTGGTGACAGAATATAAACCACAGTCTGAGAAACAGCATATAACCTACTGCCTTGCCTGGCCTTGTCTTTTTCAACTGATTTTCAATTCTCTGAACCAGTAATGGGCAACCCAGTGTTTCTGCATTATTTATAAATTGGTAATTAGCTTTGATGAAGACTGATGCAGCACACCAGAGAAAGGGAAAAACTTAAAAAAAACTGTGTAACACGAGCAGGGATTTTCATGTTTTGAATTTGGGGAAATTGGCTGGAAAATGTGAAGATATGATGTGAACCCAGAAATAAAAAAATAACTAATAAAAAAGCACTATTTAAAAAAAAAAATAAAATCCCATACTTTTGATGTCTTTCTTTGTTGTCCATATTCTCCTTTCTTTAAACTTTTAAAATGAAAAAAAAAAAATTCTGATTGCTTAACAGCCAATATTCCAGCAGAATATTTTTCATCAGAAAATCCTGCTGACACTCAGTGGATATGTTTCAGCACTCACAGCATTGCACTGAAAGCCAGACCAAATTTTCTGATAGCATGGTCCTTGTCCTTGGGATCCTTGATACATCTGGTATGCTGAAGAGGAGCCAGGATCTTGAAATTAGTAGAAATTCCCTGCACCCAGGAGCCCAACACAACAGCTGATGTAACTTCCAAACCTCCTGAACTGTTGAATCCCCATCTCTTCAAAATGCATGGTGCAGGTTCACAAATTTACAAGTTTCATTTTCTTGTAGCTTTTTATTTTGTGAAGAATATGAATCCATTAAGATCATTCCCAGTTTCTTCTAATGAATGCACTGACTGCCTGATTTCTTTCTCAATCTCAGAATTTTTCATGAAGTAGGAATTTCAGCCATAAACCTGTTTTTTAAGTGTGTTTAACATCAGACATCTGCTTGGCAACCATTCAAACTCTTTCACTTGTGCATGCTGTTCTTGTTGTAACTCTTAATTTGCACCCTTTTTTGACTGCTCCTCTTCTCAAAGGAATGTTTAGATTTAGGACTACAGTAAGGTTCTTCCCAATCTGGTATAGCACAAAGTAGAATTTTGGGGGAATATGTCAACAACCCCCCTGCCTTTGACCACATCTCTGATGTGACAAGACAATACAGCAACTATGGCAACCCATCTGCCTTAGAGTGAGGTTTTGCTTTTCACTGAGAGGAACGCCTCCCTTACCTTTCAGTGATATTTTTGGCAGTCTGCAGGAAGCGAGCGTGGTCGTTCTCCTTCAGTGACTGCTCCGCCTGTGAGATGAGGGATGTCGAGCGCTCAATGCACTGCTTGCAGTTTGCAATCTGCTGAGCCAGTTTTCTCAGCCTCACCACCTTGAGTGGAAACACAGGAAAGCAGTCATGTCTCTGAGGTCACAAGTCATGGCTGGGTTTGCAATTCAGAGGTAAAGCTGGGCAAAGGAGGAGTTAAGATGAATGGCTTTGGTGACAAGCTTTGTGGTGAACTCCATCTAGCCATGTAACATTTTAATAAGGGACAGGCACAGCCAATCTGCCTGAATATTTTCCACATGGAAAACAACAGGGGAGAGCCAAAACAAGCACAGCTGGCCTATTTTCCAGCAGAAGGAACGTCATTTCCTGGTAATTTCTGCTTACATGATAACTAAGGTCTATTTAGATAACCATTTCCCAGAAATTATGAGATCTGTGTTAAAGGCTACTTATAGATTAACTAGATTTTTTCTATTAATTGAGTTTCATAAAAAGAAGAAAACTGAAAACAAAAGTTAACAGAAAAAGACTCTTCAATTCTGTTAACAATACATGCCTGACCTCATTATGTGCTTTAAGTAAAAGAGGGTGTTTTCTTGTTGGATATTTTTAACTGGACAAAAGCACAGTACTGCTGGAGAGCTGATTATTATTACTGCAAACATATGTGCTGGAGATAAACACAGTAGATGTGACTGTAATCATTAGCAAAAAGGTTAGGGAACGGTACAGTCCTCCATTTAAAGACAATGTTGGCTAACAAAACTTTCAGGAACTACAATAGTTCCTGAAAGGTCTGGTAGTCCTTCCCTTTGTTATCACATCAGGATCATAGTTTGAACAGAAGTAAGAAAAAGGAAGGAAATTAAATAACTCCGGAGTTCAGACAGGCACATTAAGACCCAGTTACATGCAAAATGAGGGAACTAACAACCAAATGGGTTGGCAGAAATGTCCAAATTTATAATCAAGATAACTTTCCCAATCTCAGGAATTAGGGCACAGGCTATGAAGTTGCTGATTTGACTTTTAGAAATATTTGCATCCTCAGCAGTGATGAAGGTATCTTAGTGAAGTTATCTGACAACATAAACAAGTAGGAAAATAAACATTTTTTAAAAAATTCCAAAATTATACTGGCTTAATTATTTGTGTCATGTGATATTTGTGTGTCTTTAAAGATAGAAACAGCATAGAGAAGAAAATGCTGGGAATGCACAGATTTTGGTAATGCTAATTATTTGATCAGCTTCTAGGTTGGTAATGTTAATGATTTGATCATTCTAACTAATGCCACACTGTTTCCTGTAACTGCATTTGCAGAGATTACAATTCAGTCTACACCAGCCTAACCAGGGAAAGGTTCACTGCAGTGTTAAGAAGGTCATCTCTTTATTTACTAATTAATTAACAAGCAAACAGTGAACTGAAGTAAATTTTAACTTATGAGTTTTCTGCAGTAGAAGGCATGTCATGACTTGAGATGTCTATATATGAACTACATTTTTCACTTGATTGATTCTTTCTTTTATCTTCAAGAAGAGGAAGATGATAAATTGAAAAAGGAAGAGTCTCATCTCGCTCAGTCCCCACCCACTTCTGCAATGGTAGGAATGACATCTGCCCTAGGATTACTTTACCTAGTTGATATTTGCTTCTTCCCTGTTACATGTTCTGTGGGCTTTTATAGGGTTTGGGTGATAGGTGAGATTAAGTGTGGAGCTGCACAGGGTGTTCAGACTTGTGTGTAACTTAAGCTGCAGCCTCGCAGGCACAGCTGGAGGTGAGTATGTGTTTCCAGCTCCGTAGCCACACCTACAGTCCTACAGAGAAATCTGTCATGCTCTCCCTTCCAGAAAGACTCTTAGCCATAGGCCCTCTTAAAGGAAGATACATTGGGCAGGACTTCCTGTGGCTTTTCACATGGGTCTCTTGAGACCTTGAAGTCTTTTAATATATATAACATTTGAGTCAAAGCATTCCAGACCTTGACTGGACCTCCACTGATGTAACTTTCAGCTCAACAAAATAGAAAAAAGAATGGGGGGACAGATTCTGATAACAGCTCTATTCAAACAAATTTGGCATCAATTGTGTTACAAATCTTCCATGCTAATGGAAATTAGAATAATTTTTGCAAGCAACAGAGTTTTTAAAAGCAATGTGTATATTGCAGAAATCCAGATGAATTGTACGTTTTCTACTTCATTGGTAGCACATCTGGTCTCTCTGCATAGAGAAAAGGAGTTGAAACAAAAATGAAGGCCATCTATTTTATTTGAAGGGAATTATATTTTGTTAACAGCATGAAGAAATGCAGGTTTTTTCACACAGTGTACAGGACCTGTGGTTTCAAACGTGTTTAAGTTAGCCCTTGCCTACAGAGTTTTCATTTCAAGTTAATTGGAATATCTTGACATGCGCATGAACCATTTAACCTGCTCTTGACTTCATTCTTTTCCTGAGCTTTTCCCACACAAGAAGAATGAATATCTGACTTAGTTACTTTAGGAGTTAAACAGTAAACACCTTGCACCTAGAAAATAAAAACATTAATTAAACTCCAATGCATTTCTGAGCTAACAGTTAGCTAGAAAAATATGTTGAAACTTGAGTATTGGAGATTTTTCCTGCTCAATGTGTTTGCTACTAATAATCATGGAACTTTGGGAATTAGAAATGTACGCCGAATTTAATTTCTTTCACACTTTTGAATATCTTTTTCTGTAAATAAGTTAAGATTTCATATCCTCATGAATGACAAGGACTGGAACAAAATATTAGTGTGATAGTATTTGAATAAAAAGATAAAATACCTAGGAAAAAAAAAAAAGAAGATAGTTGTGAGACATGATTCTATATGCTGTGACATTCTGTGAAAGTTAACACTTTGGGGGAAATACTGTCAGGCACATAACAGAGTGAAGGAAACATTAAGGGGACATAATTTGTCATTTACCAAGCATGACAAAATTTCTGGTTTTATCTTTAAAATCCATAATCACCTGTAGTAAGAGAAATAGCCAATAAACAGTTGAGGTCTGGAGTACTAGTCTTCAAGGATTTAATTCTTTACATGAAAATATCAGTCAGTAGCCAAGAACTACATAAGGACTTTTGCAAATTTCTACCAATACTATCTGCAGTCAAAAAAGCTGCAGTCAAAAGGAAACAGTGTTGACCTACTTGTGATCTAACAAAAGCTTTTACCTTTCCTTCTTTGATTTTGGTTCCAATTATTTGCCGTCTTTGCTGGATTATTTCAATGAGTTGGTCACATTCTTCCATCAGCTTGGTTTCTTGGCGGGATGCATTTACCTACAAAGCAAAACCTTATGATAAGCAAAACTGGTTTTTTTACATTTTCCTTTTCCACCTTCTAATTTAAAAACTGAATTTTTTAAAATATTTGGTTTGGCATTTTTTTTCTCCTTTCTGTGTATAATCTGTTTTATTTTCAGTGCCCTCTTTTGGATTTTGTGAAGTACTGAATTGAGTACTGTATGAGCACTGCAATTGTTTGCAGGAGGCAGGACTTGCAAATAAACAATCAGGTGTTTCCCGCTCAAGTGAGAAAAGTCTGGTTTGGTGAGTATTGAGTGGTGTCAGCTCTAACACACACCAGTGAGAAGCGGGGTCTCTTCAGGAGGTGCTTTACACATCATGGTCTGCAGCCATACAAAGCACTGCAGTGAATACCAGCGTGTTCAAGGGCACAAGTACTGGATCAGAGGGTCCATCTGGAGCAGCATCCCCTCTCACTGCTGCTGCTGCCAGCATCTGTCAGCAAAGAATGCCAGGAGGAAAGAAGTCCTAACACATATGATGACTCCCACGAGTGCTTTCTCATCCTCCAACCATTTGTGTCTTGGTCTTCTTGAAGAACAATAATTATAAACATAATTTATGCATCATTACTAGTATTCAACCAAATTAAATAAGATGGATTTATTTAGTTTCTCCTTCAAATCCTGGAAACCTTAGGAATCTGCATCATTCAACAGAAATGAGCACCACAGCTTAACTCACATTGAAGTGAACAACTGGGTCTTTTTAGGAGGATTTAAAAGTATCTCCTTCCAGCTGCATTTAATGATCCAAAGTCCTTTCACTGGAAAGAGCAGTGAACCACTGATATCATACATATCCACATATTGGTTCCTTAGAGATTCAAACGATCAAAGATCCACCTGACAATACCAAGACGTGTGTTGACTGTCTTAATTATTCCTGCTTTACCTCAGCAACAAATCAGATAAAAAGTAATGTGCTCATGTAGTTTTCTAGAGTATAAATATATGAAACAATGAAATCTTTTTAGTCCAAAACCCCTCACAAATATTAGCTTTCTGTCGAAAGTGCTGACTTCTGTTAAAAAAAAAGAAGAAAACTTGTAATAGGAAAGTTCGGGTTCTCAGATGAATATGTCCTGTTTCTGAAGGAGACTGATTTTTTCAGTGCCAAGTCAACATTCTATATACAACCAGAAGAACCAGAAGAAAGTACTTCCCTTCCAGCAGTTGCATGTTTAGCTTACATATATGTGTAAAGACTCAGAAAAAAAGGTAAAAAGTTCTAATCATGTCTAGAATAAAAAGAAAGAACTTATTTCAGAGGTATGTTTCCATTTGCACTTTGCTAAAAGAGGGTAAGAGGGTAAAGCAGCTTTCAGCCCTGGCTAATTGCCCCCACAGCCATGTCACCTTTCCCACTGGGATAATGAGTCAGTGGTGAACAACAACAGGGATTACTTTCAGGTGACAAGTAACTATATTGCACTCTTGATTGTTCCTTCAGTCTGATGAACCTTCTGGTTCTGCATCAGTATTCTTTTCTTTCCTTCCAACAGTGTTTAAACGTGCATTTACCCGCAAGCACATTACAGAGCTCATTAAGCTTAAGCAAATGCTTATATATCTAAATTTGGACCAGAACCAATTTTACAAATAACCTTCTTATGTGAAATGCACAGTATCCTCCAGGCAAAGAGAGGACTTGTTTATAAAGACCTGTTTCATCAAGGTTTTGGATTACCATTCTGAATCTTCATAAAGTTAAAGTTTGTTTACACATTTTAGAGGCTTAATTATTAATTAAGACATCAAGATTAAAAAGAGAGAATACATTTGTTTTTGGAAGGGGTCAGATGTGACTGCAAGTGCTGGTGAAGATGTAGAAGGTATTCCTATTATGCTGGTTTAGGTGCCCATGGTTCTCCTTATATTTGCTGTTTGCTCTGCCTGGCTTCTCACCACAGTCCACGAGGACAGAGAGCACGAAACAGCCCACCCAAAGCCTCTAGCAGTGCCAGTGTCTCTCCACTGAAAGCTCAGGTAACCTAGAAAAGTTTAGTCAGTGTGCAGTGTCCCTCCTATTCCCTTTGTTCCTGCTGTCCCAGTGCCTCAGCTGCATCACACTTCCTTGCTTTGGCATGAAACTCTGCGGAGCTGCTTTCAACAAGCTGTGCCATGCACTGCTCTCCCAGTCCCGACTTCAGGCTCACTACTGCATTGAAATTCCACTGAAGATCAGGGAAGCCTACACAGCCTCAGCCCGGGGCAGGGATCACATCCACTGCATGTGGGCACAGCTCCTGTGTCAATAGCAAGGCCGGCCCATGCCACAGCCAAATTCAGCACCTAATTACAGGAACACTCCTGGCACCTCATTATGGTAACACTTGATGGGATTTTTGAGTAGCTTCCACTCGAAGTGTTACTTCTAGCACCACTGACATCACCAATTTGCTTTGTCAAGAAGATCTAATTAATTTTTAGGATAACTGTCATGAAACATAAAGTTACAGGAAGGTTGAGTCAACATTGTTTCATTTAATACTCTGATTGATTTGAATAATAATGTATTAATTGGATCTTAACTTAAAAAGCTCTAGACTAAGAAAAACAAAATGCTTGGAAAAAATCTCTGGATTTCTTAATGCACTGAGTGCAGACTTCTCTTTTTCTTTGAAATCTGAAAAGTATACTCTTTTTAAACACCATTTGAAGACATTTCCAACTTTATAGCTTGGACAAGCTTGTTAAAAATGAAAGTAATATTCTAAAATTATACGATATGTCTGAGCTTTACATGAAAAAAATCCCTCAACATTTAATCTAGGGGCTTTTCTTAAGCTGAAATACTCCTTAATCATATTTTCAGCCCCCAAAGCCTCTGATTCAATAATAACTTTATAATTGAGCACATGCCTAATTTTAAGTGCACTACATTAGCTGTGGCCCTAAAGGGACTATTTGTGAGATTACCATTAAATAGTATTTACTTGTGTGTTCCCGAGGAGCCATGTGTCAGACCAAAGAGCCACAGGCATGGACCAGGGCTCCACTGTACAGGTGCTGCAAAAACAACAGAATGAGGCTTTTCCTTCTGCTTGAGTCCTTTGACAAACAGCGACCTTGACAATAACTTCCAGCTGGGCTGGCCAAGGAATGTGAGTTCTGTCTGGTGAAAATATTTGAGGTTTTACATTCTACATTTTTTCCACATTAAAAAACAAGCCCTCTTTCCAAGGAGTTCGTTAAAAGAGACTGATAGCTGCCTTATAAAGTCTGGTGACTGTGTCACACACTTTGTGAAAGTCTCCAAATCATAGAGAGAGCTGACTTCAGTCTGGGCTCCCTCCACCCAAGATGAAGGCTGATTCTTTAATCTGAGGTATCTGTTGTCTGAGACTTTATGCTAGACTTGATGACACCTTTCTATGGAAAATGTCACTATTAATACAATTAGTTTTGGCATCAACCAGTTTCTTAAACATCCATGCCCAGAAATACTTTGAACCTAAAACTTTCTATTTTATTGGTATTATTTTTATAAATTTCTTTTCCATGCCAGTTAAAATTGACTAGGAGGCCTTATGATTTAGCAAGAACTATGACGTCTAAAAAGAAGAAGGACAGATTCTAGTTGTCCTGATTTTGTGGGTAATTTATTCCCATTTCTGTAACACACACAGACCTCAAATAGTTTACTGAAATAACCCAACAACCTTACAAATTCCAGGTTTCTTTCCAGATTTTCCAGACATATGGATAGGAACTGTGGCCCTTTGCCTCAGGAAGTAGGTGTAGTTAAAAAAAGAAGAGAAATGGGGGTTCCTCAGATGTCTGTCAGGGAGCTGGAAACAAGCAGCCCTCCCAGCCCAAAGGGGAGAGCAGGCCAGCTGTTCCCAGCTCCACAAGCTGAGAACTGATTTGGAAAGTGTTCTGCTCTCTGTGGAGGCTTCCCAGGCTTTCATCTTCAGAGACCTGAGTTAAATTGCAGCTTAGCTCATCAGAAAATGAATGTGGTGGTTTCAAAGTCCCCAGCAGATGTTTGGGAAATCACAAAACTACAGAATGGCTAGAGATTTGAGGTTACAGTGGAGCTTCTATGGTTAATTTGAAGGCAAACAGAATCAGAGGGCTGGATTCATACCCATGAAAACTTCCTCAACTAATATACTAAAGCAAAGGATATTTTTGGTGTCTCACAAGAATTTTCCTTGCAATAGCAAAACTCTTCCTCTGAGATTCCTTATAGGTGAGGCAATTCTCCCCACAAGTTGAAATCTTCATGCATCTTTTTGGCAAACAATCTCTAAATGACAATCAAAATAAGACATCTTAAATTAGAGGGGGTCTGTTTTTTAGGGCTATGCTCTCTGTGATAAAGTCATCAAAACCAGAGCAATTTTTATTTTCTAGTCATCAGTTGATTATGCAAAATGGAAGAAAGTAGGTTGTAGAAAGAGTCTGATCTTTGAAAACTGAGATATGAATTTGAGTTTCAGCGTCACGATTTAAAAATTATTTCAATTCCTTAAAAAAGAAATTCTTTGCAGCTGTGGCTGTACAGGTAAAGAAGAGGTATGAATTTTTCTTTATGTGTTTGAGTTGACAGTTATAGAATGACTATATACTATGGCTATAGAATGACTATATACTCACAACAATTACTGTATACTCAAAAGAAGAAAAAAATATCAGAAAAGTAAATGGAATGATTCCACTCAAAACCTGTTGCATCATTGCCACATACTTCACTTTAGATTTGAGCCTCAATTTCTTCTTGCACCAAACCCAGAAAGTGAGATTAAAAAAACCTAAAATTTTTACATATAATGGCCGATACCTACTTACCCTAGGAAAACTTTCTTCATTGCCATGGAGATGTGGAACACATTTGCTTGGATTAGTGTCCCTAGATGAATTAAAGGATTATACTCTCCTAAAGAGAGAGGCCTGTTTATTTTACTCCATGTTGTAAAGTGAGTAACTTTTTTTCAGAGAGCCAGAATACATTGAAGTATTATTTTC